GCGTCAATAAGGGCTATCCCTGTGTTAGCAAGGTGACCAAGGTGTATAGCATTTTCGGCTGCATCATCAGTAGCAGAAGTCTCGCAGAAAATGTCAGTTTACTTTGGTTGAGGCACACTTGTGATGAAGTTCTTCTGGTCGGAATGACCAGGGCACATCGTTGACTATCCGTCAGAGTGGAACTCGAAACCAACTGTCCAAAAATGGATAAAACTGAGTGCCTGGATCCTTCAGGCACCGCCGTGAGGATTAGACAGCGAGGGCTGAGACATAAAGAAGACAGCGCAGACGATCGATTCGATCTAAACTGGGCGAGTGATGTTCAACAATCTTCGTTTCCGTATCTTCTGTCCAACGTCTGGATCTTCTTTCCGTTTTATCCTTGAATCGTCATCTTCGGTTCAAAGGACAGTTGGCATGATTAATACGTGTTACACTGCGTTGTTCAGGAATTAATACGGATGATGTTTTCCAATCCTTCTAACCAGCTGATATATAAAAGAACGCTAGATCGGGCTTTTAACGGTACAAGGAAAAGATACAAAATATGATACTCAGTACCACCGGGACCCATGATACGAAAATTAGTTAACTCGTCGGACAGCAGAATTGTTGACTGCTGACCATATTCAAATGATGCCGTCAATTGACTTCATTTTTCCTGAACGAGCGCATCATAGGAGAACCAAACTCTAAGCCTGAAAAGTACTAATGCTCCATCTGAAAGGACAGCTACTGCTAATACAGTTGATTTGGTAGATGCTCGTATGAGTAACATATTAGAACCTTTTGTGAAGTAGATGCAAATAATTAGACTTGCTATTTAAGGGTGATGCTCGCCATGTGGAATCCGCCAGTGTGAAACTCATATTTTACATGCGATTAACTTAGCTTATGATCGGATGAGGTATCTGCGTAGGGATACATAATATGCCTATTGATATGATGCTTTTTGGGTAAAGAGCATTATCGTCGGTGCCAAGACCAGGTATGTTGCTTTAGCCACAACGTCGAGTTGGCGTGCCCTGTCAGTACCCAAGTACCATGAAGACGTGATGACTATCTAATTAAATGATCCGTCTAGACGCCTAGAATTTGGCGGTGAAATATTGTCCCAGAGCCCGTTGTAATGACATACGTAATCATTCGTTACGGCAGTATCGTTGTAAACACACGGTAGTTGGTGTAATCTAAAATGTAACCAACAGTGAGACTCGGAAAAGGCATTCGCCACATGGACGCCTCCTGAGAACGCCTATGCAGTTAGCTTAAGATGCGTTTCAAATAACATCGGCAATAACCCGTATTTGTGTAGATAAACGGAATTGATGTTGTTGCTTTTCTATCGTCACCTTCTGCCGCTTTGTAAATCCGCAAGCTGCTAAACGTATTTGTGACTTCCGCTCGTCTGTCACTTCGCTTGCTGTGATAGATCTGGTTTCAGACAACATGCGTGGTGGGGGTCCACCAAAGTTGTTTCGTTTCGTCCTTGAGTATCGTCATGCTTGTTCCCGCCGTTATTCCTTCATCATGGCCTTTTATCGGTTTTGCCTTTGATTATTGTGGGGGGGGAGGATGAATTGTTTTAGAATTGTACGATTACTCTATGGCATGTGGTGCACTGTTGACTATATATAATGTATAGTACATGGGTACTATATATAATGTATAGTACATGTATGTTTTGAAGCGATGGAGAAACTGATCAAGGCCTGTGAAAAGTGCAGCTCTACGATTCTAAAACTGTGTGCCTTTATTAACACTGCATAACACTGAATATCGAATAACATTGATTCTAGAAGATACGTTAGTGCAGAACCGAGATGCAACAGAGTGGAATAAATACTTTCAAACGAAGTAAGGAATGAAGCTGGAGAAAACGAAGTTAGAGTGTTCGGATAAACCGGAAAAAAAGACTAGAAATGGAAATGCACGAAATTTTATACAGTCAGATTCAAACTATGAAACTATAGAGTATTTGCATAATTGTTATGGAAGGAAGCATCGATTCGTTGTTTGCTTGAATAGAAGTTAATGATCTTCGATTCTAGATTCGTGGTTCAAGGCAACAATTGAAAATAAACGTACAGACTCGTATACGTTCCCATTTTTTACATGTGCGTAATTTCATAGTGCAATTTTATGTGCCACTGTAACAGCATACTGTTAAGCAGCCGGTGGTACGACGAAGCATAACTATGCTAATAAAAAATATTTC